TCTCTCTCTCTCTCTCTCTCTCTCTCTCTCTCTCTCTCTCTCTCCATTTGTCTACACTTGTGTTACCCTGAATATTAGCCATATTAGTTAGTATTCCAATGTGTGAATTCCATTGATTTTTTTCCCCCGAGTAATCTCAAGGGCAGAAATTATCAATATGAGTGGTACTTTTCAAACAATAAAATACTAAATGACAAAGCACCGAGTCAGTCAACAAGAAATAAGTGTGAATGAGTGTCCCAGGAGGTTGGGGTAAAGGAGGGCGTTCCCCACTGGAGTTGTCAGTGGCTTGGGTGAAGATTTGCCCTGAGCTGTTGACTCCTAGTTCACCCTGTGTCTGGACTGGCGAGAAGCCTGGCTATAAGCCAAGCTTCCTGCTTCCCTTTCTCCACCCAGCATGGGGGAAGAAGCTAGCTCCCAGCTGCTGGTGGGGAGGGAATTAGTGTCCCCAGGGCACCTACTTTGAGTGAAACACTAAGTCTCATATACCATCTTACCTCCTGGGCTAAGTAGTCATTTTCACAGGCAGAGACTGGGTCTCAGTGAAGGCAAGGAAGGTGTCTGGGTTTGTAGTGAGAGGCAGAGCCAGGATTTGAATTCAGAACTGTCTGGTACTAAAGGTCAAGCTCATTCCACAGTGACAAGGGAGGTGGGAGAGAAACGCGGGGAGAATCTTTGGGGACACTAGTAGGGAGGGGAGCCCCTCACCTTGGCATCAAGTTGAAGCCTTGGGCCAGCAAAGCAGCAAGAATTCCAGCCCAATTAATAACTGCTTCAGTTATTAATTTGTTTTCCCACCCCAGCCATAAAACTATAATTTTCTAGATCTATTGCCAGAAACCAGGTTATAGGAAAAGGTACTGAACCCTTTGTGCAACCCTTGTGGGTCCCGGTTTAACTTTTAATAGATTCTAATTTTATTAAAGCATTTCCAGAGATACCTTATAGTCTCACTGATCGAGACTGAGAAAATGGCTCCACAGTTGAGGGGTCTTTCTGTGTAAGCAAGGCTTCCTGAATTCAGATTTCCTAGGACCCATGAAAATCAGGGCGTGACTACGCATGTGTGTAACCTCAGCATTTGTGGGGGGGGCGCAGAGACAATTGGACCACTGGAGCTTTATAGCAAGCTAGCCGAGCAATGTGTTCAATGAGGGGCCCTGTCTCACATCTCCCTCTGTGCAAACACCTGATAACAACTACTTCATTTCTTCTTGATTTCTTGGTTTGGCCTGTGAACAATATACAAGCGTGCAAACATTTAGAAAATTTTCTTTACATTCTTCGGTTGTAGCGAATCCCTGGCCACTTCCACCCAGATCCACATCTTTGGCAGAATCATGGATGTTTTGCATCAGACCTCAGACCGCGGTGATTTCCGTCCTGAAGTGCATGCCCTGTGATGAATTCCTAATTGTTCCACCAGAGGGCAGCAAGGAAGCATGAACGGGGAAGCGAAGGCCGGAAGGAGTTTGCCGGCTGGAAAGGTCTCCAGGGAGTCAGGCATAGGTGGTGTTCGCCTTTGATCCTAACTCTTGGGAGGCAGAGGCAAGCGGGTCCCCGTGAGTTTGAGAGCAGCCTGGTCTACAAAGCGAATTCAAGGACAGCCAGGGCTGTTACACAGGGAAACTCTGTCTCAACAAAAGGGAGAGGGTTGGGTTGAAATTTAAAGACAAAGTATCCTACAAAGCGCCATACAGAGATGTTTTTTGGAACTGAAAAAAGAGAAATCAGAAAACTGAGCCAGTGTTGACTTTCAAATGTAAAATTTGTCTGAAAACACAGCACAGACGCACACCCTACACATACAGCCCAGTGAACCGGCTTTCTATTTCCCAGTCAGCGAGCACAGGGCTTCAGCAAACAGTCCTTCTGCCTCAGCCTCAGACACAGGCAAACCATGCCTTTCTGCTTCTTCTCAAAACCCGTTGGTTTCACTTCCTTTTCTGAGCGCATGCTCTTCTCAAGAGATCTGGCCCGAAAAGTGCTGCCTTGCACAGCAGTGAGTGGCCCTGAGTCTTCTAGCTTTATTTTGGCTGGAAGACGCAGAGCAAAGGTGGACATTGCCGTTGACAGCCGAAGTCTCTATTCCTGCCGTTGACGCTTCGTGGCCCGCGTTGGGCAATGACCTGGCGTAGCCTGGCTGTCGGGTATGACGTGGTCTGAAGCGGGTTCAGGAGAAGAGGTGTTTTGGAATCTTATCAAACAACCTTAGTATAAACTTTGGGAACACTAGGGAGGGTTTGTACGAAGATGGAACAAACAGAAACTTGAACGACGGACACTGCGGTAGTTTTAGTAAGGATGTCCTCCACAGACTCTTGTATTTGAAACTCGGTTCCCAGTTGGTTGGTGCTGTTTGGGGCAGTTTAGGTGCGGCAATGTTGCAGGAGGAAGTATATTGCTGGGGGTAGGTTTTGGGGTTCAACGCCTCACACTGCTTCTGGTTCGTTCTTTCTGCTTTGAGTTTGCATTTGAAGATGTGAGCTCTCAGTTTTCTCCTCCTGCTGCCACGCCTGCCTGCGACTTGCTGCCACACTTCTCTGCCAGGACAAACATTCTTTATTCTCTTTGGAACTGTAAGCCAAATAAACTCTTCCCATTCCAAGTCGCCTTTGGTCATAGTGTTTTTAGAGCAGCAACAAAAAATAACTAATACACACACCCTATGTGTATGGACCAGTTAGGGTGGCCTCACTTGGGAGGTGGCATTTCAAGCCGGGACAACTCAAAGCAGAGGGATAAACAGAAATGGGAGAGAGAACAACATGGTATTCTTCTGAGGTGGGATGCAATTGAGGGAACCTCCAAAAGAGCCCTGAGACGGCTTGGGGTGTCTTTCAAGACAAGTAGAGAACTTGTTCCATATATGGGGGTCGCTTTGAGACTTCGAAATAACTGCACAGAAGAGTTACATTTATCTGCAGCCCAGCCGGCATGGAGACATTCATTCTCCAGACCTTTCTGAACGCCAGTTCTCACAGATATTTTATTTGTGGGTTATGACAAGCTTCTGAAAGGGTTATACAGACAGTAATTAGGCCCAGGTGTGGCGACACACACACATCTGTAATCCCAGCATTTGGGAGGCTGAGGCAGCGTTACCAGCACAGGCATAGGTATGGTTCCAGCCTGGGCACTGGCAGCCCTAAAAAGCGAGGCTTTGTCAAAGATTCTAAAGGCCAATCCAAGAGATCAGTACCAGAGAAAAACAGAGAAAAAAGATGTATGCAAAAGTGTCCTGCTGGAAAGGATGGAAATAGTAAACACTTTACTGAGTGAGATAACCCAGCCCCCAAAAGAGGAATATGGTATGTATTCACTCACAAGTGGATTCTAGCCATAAATATAGGACATTGAGCCCATAATTCGTGATCCTAGAGAAGCTAAATAAGAAGGTGAACCCAAAGAAAATCATATAGTTATCCTCCTGGATATTGGAAGTAGATAAGATTGCCAGGCAAAAGTTGGGTGCACGGGGGTGGAGGTGGGGTGGGTGTAAGGGGAGATGAGGAGGGAGAAGGGGAGGATTGGGGAGAGCTTGGGGGAATGGAATGGTTAGGATGGAGAAAGGGTGGATATGGGAGCAGGGAAGTAGATGTCTTAATTAAGGGAGCCATTTTAGAGTTGGCAAAAGACTTGACTCTAGAGGGGTTCCCAGGTCCAAGGAGATGTCCTCAGCTTGTTCCTTGGGCAGCAGATGAGAGGGTGCCTGAACTGGCCTTGTCCCATAGCCACACTGATGAATATCTTGCATATCACCATAGAACCTTCTTCTGGCAATGGATGGTGATAGAGACAGAGACCCACATTAGAAATATATATATGTATTATACATATATGTATGTAACAACAATTAATGAAAAAAGATGCTATAGATTCAAAAGAGAACACAACGTGCATATGGGAGGGTTTTGAGGGAGGAAAGGAAAGGGAGAAATGCTTTAATTTTATGATAATAGAAAAAATAATAGAAAAAATAAAAGATATATCATTTACTGGAAAAAAGTGTCCTGCTGGGAAGAGGAACCAATGGGGAGAGCCAGTGGCACCCAAGTCCACCTGGGGTCTTGAGAGGAGCTTTAGACTCAGATAGAGGGCTGGGGGTAGGGGGAAATGACCAAGCAGTCCTGGTCAGGCTGGGGCCCCACCCACCGCTGATCCTTGTCTCATCCTGCAAGTGGTTGTCAGAAGCCTGTGAAACCTCTCTGGGAGACAAATCTCCCTTCTAGCTGGCATCCAGTGTTAGCCTCTCTCTCTCCCACCATGAGATTCACGGGGGAAATTCTAATTTATGGAGAACCAGTATTTCTTTATAAAACTTCATTACAAATTTATTTACTCACTATAGTGTGTGTGTGTGTGTGTGTGTGTGTGTGTGTGTGTGTGTGAGATGTGGTATGTGCCTGGGAGTCACATGGGACTTACAGGAATCATTTCTCTCTTCCTGTCATGTGGGCCGCAGGGATCAAACACTGGTTGTCAGGCTTGGTGCCAGGCTCCTTTACGAGCTGAACCATCTCATGAGCCAGGACCACCATTTCAACGAACTGATAACCAAACAGAGGGACACGATGACTTTTTAGAGAGAATCGCGTCTTTCCTGCCAAGAAGATTACAGAAGGAGGATGGCACCGACTTTGAGGCCAGCTTGGTCTACATAATAAGTCCCAGGCCAATGTGGGCTGCATAGTAAAACTGGCCTGGCAGAAATAAAGATTTTCTAAAGAGACACTTGTGCCTCTGAGACCATCAGATAATTAAACAGAGGATCCCAAAGACATAGGAATTTCTCTCGGAGTCTCACACTGAGAAAAGTAAAAGGTGCCATCAGGTTTCCCTTCAGGACCCAAGAAGATGGACTTGGGGAGCCTCTGCACCTCTCCGTCCCTCTTCCTGATGTGGCCACGTTGAGTAAATCTCCTTTCCACTCTCAGTTGTCCTATTAAGGACAGCTAGCCAAACCTGGGTGTGGTCCCCAAGCTCAGGACAATAACAGATCCAGCAGATTCTATCTCACAAGAAAGAAGGAAGGAAGACAAGAAAGGCTCCTTTTCCTTTTCTCTGTCTTCTTCTGGTGCCTGGGTATCTCCTACACTGGGCTCATTTGCATTTGCTTGTAGCCTCATGCCCGGTTTCCTTTTATGGTCTTTGCGCTGTCCTCCTTTCAAAGGCATCTTCTCAGTGAAGCACCTCTGGTTCGCTCGCTGCACTGGGTAGCTCCTACTTTAGCAGGGCTGCCAAGCTTCTGGTGCCTTCGTGGCCTTCAGAGCCATCTGGCACAGTGTTTGCCTGTTGATAAGCAAAGAGAAACTCATGAGACCTGGTTCTTCCTTGACCTCCTTTGCCTTACCGGTGAATCTCTTTCCTCAGAGCCCCTTGGAGGGACTTGAGGTCCCTTTTAGTTTCCTGTTCGTGTGCCCCCTTTCTTTCCGAGAGAGGAGAAGCCGACCAATAAGCGGTCTTGTGGGGTTTTGTAGTTTTTGTTTGCTTGTTTGAGACAGGGCCTCACTACATAGTCCTGGCTGCCCTTGAACTTGCTTTGTGGACCAGGCTGGCATCAAACTCACAGTGATCCACCTGTGTAACATTAATAAGAACCAGAGACAGAAACTGGGGTTCAATCTGAAGGTCCGAAAACAAAACAGCTAGCCTCTGGCTCTTACCTCTATCTCAGTTCGAAATGGTGATCCTGCCTCCAGGAATTTCAGAGTGAGTCTATGTCTGAGAGTTGTTTTCTCCTGTTTTATATTCTTCTCTGGGGCTGGGATTAAGGGTGTGCACCACTACTGCCTGTTTCTATGGCAAACTAGTGTGGCTACTGGGAATACAGGTGTGCGTCATCACTGCCTGGTCTGTAAGGCTGACCGGGAGGTGGGGGGAGCTGTTTTACTCTTTGAACTTCAGGCAAACTTTATTTATTAAAATACAGATGAAATATCACGACACACCCGCTTCCATGTGCCACCAGGCTGACCTAGGAAGAGATCTTAAAGTAGCTCCCAGATGTTCCTGGAGCCCTCCTGACACCGAGATAGTATTTGTAGCCCATGGGAGCCAAGTATAGTGAACGAGGAGGCAACCGTGACAGCTACATCCACACTGCCACCCAGGACCTGTCCAACCCAGGGAGCTAGCAGGTTCTGCAAGGCAGAGCAAGACCATATTCCTCTTTGACTGTGGCTGGTAGATCTGAGCAGATTAAGTCAGGCCCACGGAGTTTATCAGGTGTGGAAGAATGTTGGGAGACTTTGTGGAAGAGCTTCAGGGTATGTAAATGTCATGACTCAGAGGTGGATGGGCAGAGAATTACAGAGAACTAATTAAATCAGCACATCTCACCCATGCTTTGTACCCAGCTTTGATCTGGTAGAAACGGCTGGGGCATTTCTGTGCTGTTTGACAACATTGTCTGAGTTCTACTTTGGTACCTGCTCAGTTGTGAACCTCTGGGGTCGCCCGACATTTGCCCAGAACAGATGATAAAGGACTTCAAGAGCTCTTCCCCAAGGTTCTATTTATTAAGGGAGGGTGGCTCAGAATGCCGCTCTGTCTTGCATATCTTCCGCCAAGGTTCTTTTCTATATAGTGATAGAATGCTAATCCATGAATGTTTTGCAGATTTGAAAAACCGCTGGAGCCAGGTGCAATGTACTTTCTCCTAACCTTCAGCTCAAGCAGGGTTCGGTTCATTCAAGGAAACAATGACAACAGAACCCCCAAAGGCACCATGCCAGGGTGGAAAGGGACACTGCCAGAGTTAAGCTGCCAAGAAGACTCTGAGACCAACTAGCTTCCTACAAGAAGCAGACACCAGCTGGAAGAGGTTTAGACCCGTTGAGACATCTGGAAAGGACAGTGTCCTACCTGTTGATCTGCCTGTAGGCAGTGTAGCATGCTCCAGATCCCCGCTTTTGTGAGATGTCACCCATGCTGGCGTGGGCTTTGATGATTCAGCCGTCTTCAAGTCATTTCTGCTCCCGTAAATAAACCTGATGTGGGATTCCTCTTTGGATGCTGTGACTACGTTTTATTATCATTGGTCAATAAAGAAGCTGCTTCGGCCAAGGGCAGGACAGACTATAGCTAGGTGGGAAAACTAACTTGAATGCAGGGAGAAAGAAGGTGGAGTCAGGCAGATGCCAGCCAGCGGTTGAGAAAACAAGGCATGTAGACAATGAGGTAATGCCACAGCCACGCGGCAATACATAGGCAAATAGAAATTGGTTAATTTAAGATGTAAGAGCTAGTTAGAAATAAGCCTAAGCCCATTGGCCAAACAGTGTTGTGATTAATACAGTTTCTGTGTGATTATTTGGGTCTGGGTGGCTGGGTAACAAAAGTGTAGACTCTGTTTATGTAAGCCCTCACCCATATTCCTGTAAGTAACCCCAATTAAGCTCATTAGGTCATCAAGTTGGACTTTGGTGGTATCTGTGTTTGGGTCTGTCACCGTTTCCTGTCTGGGGTGAGTAGACATGTGTGTTGCGTCTCCTAGGAAGGTAGATCATACAACACCAGGGTAAGAAAGTACCAGAAGTTGACTCACTTCTTTCAACCAGCCCTCACTTTCTGCTTTCCACCATTCCCAACCATGCCCACGATGAGTCA